ACCAAAGCCCCGGGAGCAAAATGGCAGCAGGAACTCGCGGGAGCGCCCTTCCCGCTGCAGCACAGCACTTGTGCCCCCGGCTGCGGGCGTGTGCCGAGGGCCTCGCGTCTGCAGCAGCAGCTGAAAGCCATTTGGCACCTAAAAACTCGGTGGGCCCTCACCTCCCTGCTTTCCTCGGCCCATAGCTCATTTTGGGCAGGATTTCCCAAAGTGTCTTCACTCAACCCTACTCGTTGAGAAGAATCTCCTTTGTATACTGCTGCCGTTTGAAATGCGTGCTTTGCATCCGTGTCTTGCCTTTCCAACACAAACATTTTGAACAACGCAGTTACTGTTTGACAGCAGAGGTTCCACCTGCGCTCGTCTCCCTGTGATCCCTGGTAAGCCATTCCTGGCACAGGGAGCAATGTGGGAAGGCCTAGTGAATGCAGTAACTATTGGAGACCTCAAAGGATAATTTGGGAAAGGAGGGGGTTAAAAGAGATGCACGGTCCCACGGGATTTGTTCCGTTTTAATGGGATAAGCAAGACGTATTTTATGTCGTTGAATACACGCGTTCTGACAGAGTTCATTTCCAACATAGACAACAACAACTAAAGTGACCTTAGTAAGGCAGACCCTAATGCTGAATAGTGAGAGGCTGTGAAAATGGCTACTGATGCAGCAAGTTGAACAGCTGAGCTCCTGCCTGAATTTCTGCAGGTATAGAAGATAAAAAATGCAGATGCATCTGTGTCCACATACACAGGAGACTCATCCTTCCCGTAGAGCCACATCTATCAGTTGAGGGTTATAAATACGAGAAGTATTTGGGGAGTTTTTCCATGCATGCAGCATCATAGAGAAAGCAAGCAGGGAGGAGAGAAAGGAGGAGAGAACACTCACAAAAAGGAATGAGTTTGCGGTAGAAGTAAGGAGAGACAGGCGAGAGAACAAAGCAGGGAAACTGGGAGAGATGAAAAGAAAAATTAGTAATATTTACAGAGGCGAAAGAGAGTGATCGCCAGCATCAAATCCTGCTTTTGAGTACTGGTTTCAGTGACTTAGAATTTCTCCTATGCTCTACTGAAGCACATTTTTAAACCATGAGAAATCTCAAAATTATTTTAACAATTGCAGGAACTCAGAGGTGGAAAGAGCAAAGTGATCTGCTAAATTCCCCTGAGAGAGAGATGGGCTGTTCCTGTACTTAAGAAAGGCAGAGGAACTTCATACAGCAAAAGGTAAGATTAAAGAGACTTTTTTTGTCCAGGTCTATGGCATTGTGAATAGCAGGTATTTATCGGTAAAACATTGTCTGTAACCTTAGTATTCTGTACCTACACTGGACGGCATAGTTAGATGATTCTGTTCTGATGATAAGCACTGCAGATAGCTTTCATGATAGCCGTTTTTGGTGTACACTTCACATTCACATTCACCTTCAGTGAATGTTGTGTATTCTGAAGTATTTTATGGCCGATAGACTTTAGCTGTTGAGACCTATTTTTTCTTATCACCATCATCATGAGAACTTCTGTTCTCATTATCCTTTTTCCCCTAGATATTTCCAGTATCCTGTTCAAAATGTTCCATATGGCGTCATTCCAGTCCTTTATACAATGCCGTGATAACAAGAGAAATTAATAGATGACACGAATTTAAGGCCATTGTAGTTTTTACAGGGTTATTACTTGAAATGTTCTTTGGCTTTAAGCTATTTCCATCTTACTAGATCTGCATGGTTAGTTGAAGAACCTGTTGAATCTGTTTAAAGTTGCAAGGATGTAATGAGCTTTCATGCTCTTTTGGTATTTTCTTTTGGTATTTTTCCACTGCGTAATTAGTTATTTTGGGAAAAATATAGGCCAAAAGTTTTTCATGTTGTATAAGTAAGTGTTAGCTTTGTTTTACACTCATATAACCCATAGCAGGATTTGTATCATGTGTTTCTTCACATAAATAAAATACATTTTTTCTTGATTTAAGCAAAAATCTCCAAGGTACTGAAAATCTCAAGTCTAACAGTTCTAAATAAAATGTAAATAGCACGAGGCTTGTGTGCTACTACGAAAGGTGAACAAATATTTTGTTGAAAATCTCCTGTCAGAAAACTAGCTTACCTGGCTTGTAGAAACCTTGTCCGATATATTGTGACATTCACTGGAAGACTTAAAACCAATTTATAGCAGCACCTAAGTAAGTCCCTGAAATTATCAAATTTTGCGTATTATTTTCAGCCTTTTGCGTGATGAGTGGTAAACGACTTCAGTAGGCTTCCTCAGGATATAAGATAATGATTTGAAATGTACAGCACTGAACATGAAAAAGAAAATTCATTCTCATCTTAGCAGATGATCAGCTTATGCTTGACATCTTAGATGCACGTAATTGGTTTTTGGTCACTGTGGCTTTCAGAGGCTAACAGCAATCCCAAATTACCTAATCTTGGCACAGTACCTCACATGATGAGACTCTCAACAACAGGAAATTCTACAAGTTTGGTCTGTAATTCTGTAAAGTACACCTCATTTCAGTGTCTCTAAATTAGCTTTCCTTGGGGTGTCCCTAATTTTAATTTTGATAGAATAAAGACTGCATAATTCCAATTACAGAATGTGTTACTGCTTTCCGTGGAGCTAAAACAATGCCTAGTACATCATTTATACAGACTCAGGTCTGATCTCATCTAGATAGGCAAGCATTGCTGTGTTTCTTGTCAAATTCGCTTAGTAGCTGATTTTACATGATTCGGTACACAGCAATAGGTGCTGGGATATCTTGGGTCAAAATCAGGTCAAGGTACTTGATCAGATACAGTTCATTTCAGAAGTGGGTGAAGACACAGTGCAGTATGTTCCAGGATACTGGAGGTCAAAACTGAAATTTCAGCTGTTAATAACCCGTGAAATAAAATACAATTATTTGTATTGAGTGGTCACTATTTAATAATCGACACTCACGAGAAGCTGGGATATGTTGACATATGAGCATCCTTTGCATTTTCCTGTATTTTTGAACATCAAACAATGTGAAGTGTGATGCTGTGACTCCGTATTTTGGCAGCAACTCCATCGTAACAGCTTCTACCAACCTTCTACGTTTTGCCCCCTTTCCCTTAATTTTACCCTGTCTCTCATTCTAATATTGTAGTTTACAAAGCCTCACTACAGGCTGGAAAACCAGCTTCATATTATTCTTATACCCAAATAAAGAACTTCTAATTTTGGGGTGAACTAAAAGACTTCCATTTTACCATTCTGTTCTGTACTTCTCTGTATATATTGTGAGAAATTCTGGCTGTCTTAAGTGTTTTAGTGAACACATCTCCAGTTTCTTTAGAGTCTCTTATTTCCAGATTTGTTGCAACGCCGTGTTTTCTGAACAATTCTCTGAAAACGTGGATCTGTGGTTCCCTCTTCTTTTTTTACACACACCTCACACACCCCACACACCCCCATGAGTAGAGTACATTTCTGGTTTGTAACGCATCACTGACATTACTATCCTTGTCAAAAGTTTTGGCATTATAAATAATCAGTAGTCATAGTTTGTTGGTTGCTTATAGCACAGTTTAATGAGCTTTCTCAGTGTGGGTAGCTTGGTGTTAAATTGCAGTTGTATTTCGGAGTGCTATTCAAGGATAATATACATACACACTCAATTTTCTGTTATGCAGGTTTCGGTATGTTTTCATAACAGATCGTGTGTAGATGACAGATCTTATATAAGAACATATGCACTGTTCTTTCTTAAATACTCAATGCAAAAGCATAAGGTAGAGTGTGAGCATTAGCCTCTAGTATTTGCAGTCAAACATACTGCCTTTCGTAATGGTATGTCCTAGTAACTGGATAGTGGTATTTGGTAGCTAATATACTAGAAGTTTTTTCTGATTTAATGAGTGTAACTTCTTGTCCATATCACGGTTTCTGTACAGAAAAAAAATCACTGAAAAACTTTGTCCTTTGCTTATCAATATTAATGGAGGTAGTGTCATTTGAAAATCAAGTGTGTTGCTGTGATGTAAGAAAGCCTTGATTTAGAATTAGCTCCATAAATCAAATTAAAAA